AAAAATATGTTAAGCATTTTAGAGATATAGAATAAGATAACTCTCTACTGGGAACAATGATCGAAAGTCTCCTTAGACATCCAGGCTGGATTATCCACCGGAAATAATAGCAGAATTGGGTTTTCTACTTACTGTAGTAAAGCAACCTTGTCTATAAACTCCTTATTGCTGCAAACCAAAGGTGTGCGTCTGGGGAGGGCAAGCTTTTCCCCTTGATGTTCCAGGACATGGAAATACAATCCTTTTTCAGACACAGATGTTTGCAATAGAAAACTTTCACTCCACTCTCTTCTGTTTTTAATCTGCTCATGACAGGAAACACAGATTCAAAATGAATGTAAAGAACACAGTCACCGTAACTGATGATAATACAAAAGAACATGTAGGAAAGATTTCTTTTTCCCAACATATTATAAGGAGAAAAGGTTTACAGATTTCAGAAGATTCTAGGTGATTTTATTTCTCAGTGGCTACCAATACAGCGTTTTTCCATGAACTTCACAGGATATAGCTCTCTGCAATGCTATGATACTATCAAGTTTCAGCATACAAAAGACAATACAACACTTCTTCAAGTTCTCTGCCAGATCTTCAGTGCTTCCAAGTGACTACCCCTCTAAAGCTTCACTGAACAAACAGATGTATAAAAATGGTCAAATATTCTTTCATAGCATGCATGAAATGTAAAATGAAACAGGTAAGAGTGACTGATTCACCCTCTTCAGCCAGTCTTGCTGCTAACCTCTAGGCTCTCAAGAATTTCAAAGATGTGCTTTTTAAAATATGGCAATCTACACATCTCAAGTAAAGTTTTTTACATATGAGAGTGTGAAGGCTTTGACTTCACTCTCTCATGTGCTTTTTGGTTGTCTGTTCAAACTTCTCCTGCTACTCTGTTCTTCAGAACACAACCTACTTAGTCTTCCTTCTCTGACTCCTCCAGATTACCTAAATCCCTTTTCCTTGCTCTTTCATTCAGGTAGTACCTTGCTAATAACATCCTTCCTTTAAAAAACAACAGGACTCACAATACTTACATGTTGAATTCTGCAAATTCATTTATCATGCTGTGTGTCATACACTCTTCAGTCTGTGTCCACTTTGTCTTTTAGACTATGAGCTATTTGGAGCAGGGGTTGTCACCTGGTGCATGCTTGAGCAATGCACAGCACAAAGGCATTCTATTTTAGACAGTATCTGAGCAAACAACAAAAAAAATTGTAGTTAAAATTACCCCTCCTGCAAGCTACATTAAAAAAACATGATCAAAAACTCAGAAACTGAGAAATGAGAGCATCAACTCTGTTATGTGATTTAACTAATTTCCCTCTCTTCTGTATAAATATTATGATACTGACTCTGGTTATATCATAGCATATTATTTTTTCTGCAAAGGTCTTGTTCCTTTGAGTATTGTTGACTTTTTTTAAATGGTGTCCAATTCTTTCTTACCATAGGATTTTCTGTCATAATCCCATTATTGAATGGAAAATTACTGGTTTCCTTCTAGATTTTTCTTTGTTACTTTTATCAGGTAATGTGAATGATTCAAGAGTATTAGTGAAATTGTTTGGACAATGCTGACTTGAATAATTGTTACTCTATTTCAAAGATGGGAGATAAAACACAAATAGATTAAGCATAAAACATAAATCTTACATGTTAAATTAACAGACATAGGTTCTAACATTTTAGGCTGTTTCAAGGCTTCATGAAAATAAAAGTTTTGTGGGCTCTAGCCCAGCTACAGAGATATTCCTACCTGGAGAAAAAGAAATTCAGACTTTCTGTTCTGCTTCTAGCACTTCCTGCATCTTCACTAATCACTTAATTGAGCATATGCCTAAGTCCTTTTTTAAATCATTTTACAGCTATTGTCTGTAGTATTTTTGCTTGATTTTTCAATATTCCTTTTTATGCACAGAAACCCACAGTGGACTTAGTATTTTCTGACCAGTATCCCAGTACAAAAAAATTGTTTAATTGACCGTTTCAGCTACAGGACTGCACCAGCAAATAGAGCTGCTTGTCCCACACAAACTCCAGATCTTTTGCAGAATCACCATGTCCCAGGGGACACACATTGATCTGAAATATATGGTCTAGAACTCCTGTTTCTAAGTCAACAGTTTGGCAGTACTAATAACAGAGAATTGTACTAGTGATATTTTGACTGGAATCCTGGTTCATATTCACCCATTAACTGGCATTTTCCTAATTTGAGCTGTGTAGCAAATTCCTCACATCTAAATAGTCTTGAGTGGGTTAGGAATGTGCAATGGGGTAATATGGGTAGTGGGAAAGTGTCTAGGAATCATACATGAGAAAGGTCGGAAGTATTTTGGCCGCAGCAAGAGATTTCAGAGGACAATAAATATTAGCAGTGAATCTTCCTCCTTCCGTAATTTTGCCATCTCTCAGGATGCAAGCTGCCTCATCTTCTCTGGGATTCTCAAGCCAAACTCTTCTCATCCACCTTGCACATTCACACCACTCTCCTTCTCTGCCTACATCAAGAATATCCCATGCTTATTCTTCTGCCCCTGCTGGATTTCTGTCATAGCAGTGGGCTCTTCCTGTGGTAGAGGTATTGTGAATATTTTATTGATTTTTTTTGTTGTTGTTCAGCATCAGCTTGGGTTTAACAAAGACTTAAAAGTGATAATTCAGGCTCAGTTCCAGTCAAAGAAAAAAATTCAATTTTAATTCAAGTTTTTACTTCAGTTTCAACTTTATTTTAAAACACACTTCGTTTTAATACACTCATCTGTGTGATCATGATGTTTTTAGCATTATTTAAGTCTGTCAATATTTGTGTCAAGGGCACATTTCAACATAAATTATTCAGTATTTATTTCCAGATAATTGGCAACAATACTGAGTAGAGCAAAGCATAAGTCACCATAGAACTCTACTATAACAGGTACTTTTGAAGACCTGTCATCTAAGGAGCCCTGAGTCATTTAACGTGTGCTTCTCCTGTATGTTTAATTAGAATGCTCTGTGGTACTAAATCAAGGTATTCCACAAGTCTAAATTTAAAGTATCACCTTTTAGTGTTCCATTTACTAACTCAAATTCTAATAGCTTTGAAAATGACTACTAATACTTCTTAAGCAGTGTTAACTATATCTTCACTCTTTAGTCTGAATTCCACATAGCTTTTTTCTTCATCATTTTGTCTCAAACCAACATCCAACTTATTGACTTATAACAGCATTATAATATTTATATTTTTAGATGCTGAAAGTTTTCTCCTTGGCAAACATACTGGAAAAGACTTTTGTTTTAAATTATTTGCAACTGAAAAATCGTTTTAACATTTCCTTATCAGATTACTTCAATTTTCTTTGAGTAACTTTTTGAAGATAGGTTTATATTCCATTTACCTCCAGCATTTCCCCCTTCACGGCATTAGTTTAAGACAATCTACCTGGTCCAAGTAGTCTCCAAAAGAGAACAGTTCTAGTTGTGAGACAGAGGCTAGGATTTGTCATCCCCGCCACCATCAGGGTTGTTGCCTGATGCTCCACTCTGACCACATCTTCAGTCTCATTTTAGTGAAGTAGCTATAGGCTCTTGTCCAATAATTTTCTGGTCTTAGGACTGGAAAATCTCAAAAAATATCAACTGGGCTTTTCCATTTTTCAGTTTCTCCCCTGATGTTTCCTACAATTCAAGCAGCTTCATGTGATTTTTGCTTAGTTACATTCTCAAAAAATGGCTGACATATTTTTGCTGGAACACTGAATAAAAATGTCAGACAAAGATGAACATCACACAAAGAAGTCTTTAGATCAAATTATAAACAATATCTATACCGATGATGCAAATGATGAAAAAATTATATGTACAATTTCTAGGTTTGAGTTAAAGTTCTTATGGACTGTGCAAAGTAGATTTTTTGCAATTCGTATTATAGTAGAATCTGGGGGAATAAATGTACTCCTATGTACTAAGCACTGCACATACATGGTTTTAAAATATAAAAATTGTTACTAGGCAATGCATCAAAGTGAAAATAAATAAACAGTTATGTAAATTTACAGTGGGTTTAGCTACTAAAATTACTTCCAGATTTTAGAGTTAGGAACATTCCATGATAATATCCTCGGTAACGGTGTTTGAGTGGGCTACTGGAAATAATCACCAGCACGACACACAGTGCCACTGCTAACAAACCTACAGGTGCACCTTCTTCGCTGATCCTTCTTTCCTGGCTTGTTTCCCCAGACCCTGCAGTAGCAGATTCCCACAGACACTGTCCCAGATGTTTCCAGACCTGCAGATGAGCTGCAGTTCGCATCACCTGACCACTGCTAAACAGGCATTTTGTGTCTTCCCAGCCTGGGAATTGGAACTGGGTAGAAATTAACTGGCGAAAACCTGGCACCCTTTCCGGAAGAGCTGACGCAAAGGGATGACGAACAACTTCTTCAAGAGCATGTCAAATCTCGTTAACAACTGCGGTGTTATTTGGTTCTGTGAGCTGGTACATTAGAAGCGACATGGGCACAAAGACTGGATTTGGGGACGTGCCGTGTAGGGGATGCTGGATGAAGAGAGCTGCTCCTGCCTTGGCTTTTGGGACAGAGCAGGGTGGATTGAGGGAAGAGAGCATCTTTTGGGGGTGTTCTGTGGGGGTTGACTTTAGCTAGTTTAACGAGTAAGACGGGCAGGCTGCGGATCTCTCCGTGGAAAAGCTGCAGTGGGCACGGCCAGGAGAGCAGAGGGGAGCAGGGAGGCCTTGGATGGGATACACTACTGAGAGCGGCCTTTTGCAGAGCAGCCTGCAGCCGAGGCAGGACCCGCGAAAAGCGGGAAGCGGTGCCCCGCCCTGGCACGACGGGCAGACCCACACGGCGTCACCCGGACCAACCAGCCCATCCCGGCCGTCCCAGGCAGGCCGAGCGGTGCCAGCACCGCCCCTTCCCGCTGACCGCGCCCCGGCCGCCGCTCAGGGACCGCGCCTGCGCCCTCCGCGCTGCGGGACATGCGCTGATCCCGCCGTGCCCCTGCCTTGCTTCCCTTCCCCCCCGCCCCTTCCTCCCGCCTTTGCCATGGCGACACCGAGTGGCCTGATCCGGGCCCTGCACCGCGGGACCCTCGGCCAGGTAACCGGCCTGGGGCACGTCCCCCGTCCCTTCCCGGTCTCCCCGGTGTGGGATGAGCCCCGTGCTCCAGGCACGGCCGGCCCAGCCGACAGCCCGCCCCCGTGCTGCGAGCGGCTTCGCGCATGCGCGGGGCGGGGCCGGGCCGCGCGTAGCTGGCCCCGTTCTTCCCGTCGTTCCCGTGTTCCAGCTCCTTTCCCTGGGTCCTCTCACCTCCAGGGGCTTTTACTCCTCGGGGCACTCGGGGTGCGGGAGAGAGGGAGGGCTGAGCCGGCAAGTACCTGTGTCCTGGTTGTCGTTCAAGGGCTGAGGTGCCGCTGGGCGTTGTGCGAGATTTCGGCGTTGGTCTTTGCTTCTTCTCTAGAGTATCACCTTCCGATTTTAAATGCACCTGCAGGCTAGGAACTCTTTTCTTCTCCAGCAAGAAAAAAAAAAACCAAACCGCATAGATGTCTGAATTGATGTATGTCAACTCCTCGCCTTGGTACTTACACAGCTTCGATATGTTCTAGTAGTGGTTACATTTCCTTAACATATTTGGAATTTTCATTGTAACCATAAGAAGCCTTCACTTCCTCCCTCCCTCCCTCCCATTCTATTACAAAATTGAAATAAAGGAGCAACTGATTGCATTGATTGTGTTTGGAAAGATAACCCTCAGTAATCAGCCAAGTCAGGTATATATTCAGTGACTATGTGTTTGTAGGCACCCTCCTTCATGAATTATGTCTGTGAATGGTTTGCCTTACAAATCTAATTTTTTTATGTAGCTTACAGTCTTATTTTTAAAATAGGTGGAAGAGTGATTAATTAAAACAATTTGATAACAATAATGTTGCATAATTTTAGTGAATGTTTGTTTCCCTTAGCTGGACAATTGGTTTTTTCATGAAAATCTTGCTAATGTTCTTATATCGTGTAAATCCTGAATGGTATGCTGTGTTTCTATAATGGAACATTTTATCTTGAATGGTTGTCAGGGTAGATGTGTCTCATGTTGCTTGTGAAAAGAAATAGGATAAGTAGAAGATCAAAGACATCTTTCAGTTTCTTGGTGTTATCCACGCTGTCTGTGACCTTGCAGCAACTGGATTCTGTTATCCTCAGCTGTTGAGTTGATATTCTGAGCACATCAATACACACTAATACACAAAAAGTTGGTGTATATAGTGGCGTATAGTGGGTAAACTATGAGTTGTGAGACTATTTCTGAATTAGGATTTTTAAAATGAAGTTTAAATAATCAAGGCAATAAGGGTGTTTCCATTTCTGGAGGTGTTTTGATTTCATTTCGCTTGCACGTACCTAAATCTTCCTAGGTTTCTAACACTTACCATTTGAATAGTTCTTGCAAAGATGCCTCAAACCACTCATTATTTTTAGAACTCAAAGTTCCTTGAAAAATACTGAAAGGACTTGTATATGCTTATCTTTCCAGATGCTCATGGTGGCTCTTTCTGATCCATTCAGTATCCTAGCAGATGGCCTCCTCTGTTTTCATCCCTCTAGCAAAGGATTCTGGTTTATCTTGCATAATAGAGAACTCTGCTCTGAGCAAATATGGCTCTGTTATATCTTAATATTCACTCTGACGTGCGCTGCTTTGTCACCTCTGAGTTACCTGTCAGGTCAAGGTGTGGGTGCTTTATCATCTGATTACTGTTCCACAATGTCCTTTAGATATGATAGGTCTGAGAATGTGCTTCCTTCCTGTTGTTCTTTAAATGTTTTCATTTAAAAACAAGAAGCCCCAAGTTAGTCTTGGTTATGTAGCTTCATATCACCCACCCTCAAGTAACAGTAGTAATTTAAGTTGCTCCTCCAATTTTAAATTTGCAAGTCCATTATGTTGTGGGATTCTGTCAATTTACTCTCTCACTTTAAGCACCCTCTTACATCTATAAGGAAAGAATTGCACTGGAATTGAAATAGTACTTCAGTGCATCTTCAAAAGAATTGAAGGAAAAAAACTGGCTTCCTTATTTACGCTGCTCCTGTTTCCAGACTGGACTCCAGAGTAGTTCAACTATTATGGCAGACAGCTTGGAATAGATCATGTATTTGCTGTGTGCTAATGAGGAACATTCAAATTTCAAGCTGGAAAAGTGTTTGCCTTCAAGCTTGCACAGTAGGCAAGTGCTGGCCAAGTACTGGCAAACTGATAGTTTTGATGTTTAAGCATTTGATAATGCAGTCACAGTTGCTAGGACGTATCATTTATGTGGTTTCAGCTTTGTTTTACTGTAGTGCACAGTGCATTATTGTGCTGGATTTATCATGCTATGGAAAAGCTGCTCTGTAATTTTTGTTGTACGTATTTCTAGAACACAGCTAGACTTTGTAGGCATAATATATGTGGTTAAGAAGAAAGTAACATTTTGTTGGAGAGATTAATTACATTTGGGGTATCTTGACTTTCAAGAGCTTATTTTGAAATTCCCCGATTTACTGTTCTTCACTGGTCTCTAAGCCAAGGTTATAGAAAGTAATTTCATCAAGTCTGTTTCTTTGATAAGACACTCTTAAAAGTGGCAACTAACAGGTAGTCCAGAGAATTACTGATAAAATTATGAGAAATCCAGCGAAGGCATAACCTGTCAATAGGAAAATTTACTCTAGAGTGAGTCAGTCAGTTGTTGTTGTATATCCTGACAGAACATGGATTAGGTTTAGTCCTGTCAGCAAACATGAAGTAGAAGAATGACAAGGTCTTGCTTTTGGTTATAGAGTCTCATGCATCAGTAGATGGCTTTTCAGACTCCCAGCTGGAGGCCTACTTTATTTGCCTTCAAGAATTCAGGAGTCTTTGGCATAATTTTTCTTTTCTAGTATCAAAGTAGTTATCACTATTACAGTTACTGCAAGAATATTCCAGTACCTGTATTGCTTTTCTTCCTGAGAGTATCTTTTAAAGAAAACCAGAATTCTCATTTTGCTACCTTTTCTCCTACCCTGGTCTTTCCTCTTTGATAGGTAAGCCTTCCCTGGCTTTCACACATGATCTGTTACAGTGGCTGTATTGTTATTGCTAAGCTGTACATTTTGATGTTCTACAAACTTCATCTCTTGTCAACTTTCACAGGAATGATGCATCAGAAAGTGGATTCTCTTTTAGCTTCAAGTGGTACAGAATTGCATCTTCCAGCCACAAGGGTTGGTATTTTTTTATATGAAATCTTTTCTGTTTTGGTGCTAGAATTTAGTGGGGGTTTTTTCTGACTGGAAGTTGGATTTGCCCTAATGAAACTTATCACACTGACTCTAGTAGGCACTCTTTGGGTCATACAAAGAGAAAATTGGTTTGAGTCTCACGGTTCCAAGAATGTTTTTTCTACCTTTTGATGAGTTTTGCACAGAAAACATCTCTGGTGAACATTTAGTCGGATACCACTGCAAGTAGACAACCTTGAAATCCAATGAATCTTAGCCAACATGTTGGTAATCTTAGCAGTTCATTTAGGAATGTACCTGTTTCTTTGCCTGAGTTAATATCATTAAAACAATATCACAGTGTGGTTCCCTGTATGTAGTTTCTCTAGCTTGCTTTACAATTCATGACCAAAGGTGGTGCTAAAATCAAGAGGCCTTTAGGGTATCTTACCCTACTGTGGCAGCCTAATGGGTCTCAAGGCCAAAGTTAGACTAATGTGGTGTGCTTTGCTCCTAACAAATCCACATTTGCTGTTGTTTTCTTTTAGTTATCTTCTAGTGAATTGCAAAAGATGGGTTTTATTCACTGAGTATTGACGCTAAGCAGACTACCTCCCAGACTGCTCCTCTTTTCCTGTATTTTTGAAGACAGGAGTGACATTTTTCCTTTTTTGGTCTTCTGATACTTTACTTGGCCTCTGTGAACCTCTGTGATTCTGGCCAGTATTGTCAGTACTTTAAGAAGAGATCTTCAGATTGTTTGGGTCTGATGAAATTTGATTTACTTTTTTTGAAGAAGTATTGTTCTGGCGGTATTCAGGCCACCTGATCACCCCATTGTTACTGTGCTAGTCATGTTAATGACTGGTCATGTTTCATATTTTTTAACAAAGATGGCTGTGAAAAAGGCAGATAAAAATTGAAGGGTTGTTTTGGAGAAGACCATTAAAATGCTTTTTCCCAGATTGCAAATTAAATCTTCAAAATTTTTAGCTATAGTTACCATATGGGCTCCAGAGAACGGAAGTAACTGAAATTACCAGACCCTAATCCTTAAGGATTTCAAGGGTTGTAGTTTAAACTACAGTGGGAGAGAGAGCTCAGTTTTTAGTATCATTCAGATGTGTTATGAATGAAATGCAAACAATTTAAAAGTATCCGTGTTCCCATCTTGAATTTGTTGCTGTCACATAGGGGTCACTTTGTTAACCATTAATGAAATGAGTCCCCAGGTGCATGTAACAAGCTGCACACATACACAGGTTACTGCAGCAGGTCAACTTCAGAATGTCTGTCCAGACACTTGTGTACTGAAATTGATGGATGAACAGGCAAATTTTTAAGTGCTTGCCCTGAATTTATGATTGTGACAATCCCCTGTGTTACATCTCTTTCTTCCAGAGAGCATGAAGGTTGGAAGTAGCAAACTGCTTTTGACTGAGTTAAAAAAGCTGGAAATGCTTTTGTAACCTGTTAGACAGCAAAGACCCATTATGTTTCCTGGTGTCCGGTATGGGGTACTTCAGCATATTGGAATCTACAGGACCTTTAGGAAAGATCCAAGTGATTTGAGAAATGCTTTCTGAGTACAGATATCCTCTATCTGAATTCATGTATGTAGAAATTCTGGCCTTTTTTTTTTAATTTCCTATTTTTCTGAATTTTAACATTTCGAACTATTGTTATTGAGCCTAGATACTGAAAGTTATTTAGTTACCTGGTTTCTTCTGAAATCAACATGTTCTAGTCTTTGGATTAAACCTCTAGTGTCTCCTATTCAGGTTGGAATGGAAGTCTTTCCTAATCAGTCATTTGTTTATACTCTAATCACTAAATAATTTATGTTTGATCCT